TCTATAGTTGATTCATATAGCTAAAATTGATTGGAAAAAGGCTTGGAGATCTATTTTGGGTATTGTTTCGATTTTACTCCAGAACCCCCAGTTTGGCTCTACTAAAGTCTCTGCAATAATACTATTATCAAAGAGAGAATTATTAATAGGAGTACTTTCTGATATTGTAGTAATAGGTTCAGATTGCTTGCCTTCTTTAGAGTCAAAGCAGAAGGTGTTTTTTATCCAGCATTACGTCTGTTTTTTTGAAACCATTTTTGTTTATAACTTTTAAGTAAAATTCTTTTAAGAATAAAATGCCTTTTGAAGAAATATGAAGAAATAACAATAGAACTAACTAACAGAGTTGAAAAATATTAATAAAAAATTTTGAGTGAAATGTTTTTATTTTCTAAAAAATTTTTGTGAAGTATTTTTTTTTAAGTCACATGAATTGATCAAGAAAGAAATTATTTATAATAAAATAAAAATATGAATTTCGAATTTAATTATCTTTTTTTTTTTTTTTTTATTTAGAAATCAGAATCATTTAGTGTTAGTTATATTTTCTCTCTTTCGTGAAGGTTTTTCAAAATAACGAGATTCGAATATTTAATTTTATTTAACTACCAAGTAAAACAAAAATTATATAATCTATTACTAGAGGTATTCTTTGAGATTTAATTTTTTTTTTAGAAATTGTCTAACTTTCAACAACATTTAATTTATTATTTTATTAACTTCAAACTCATGAAAATTCTCAAACATAATTATATAAAAAAATTGTATCACTTTTAGCTGAGAATTAATTTGTTAGAGAATTTCGTCAATAACAAATGGAAAAGTTTCTAAGTAAAATAGATGTAGATTAGGTCATCTGATTCAGATCATTTGTTATTTCAAAAAAAAATTTTTTGTCGATTTGGTCCCTTTTCCCAGCACTCACCCCAAATTGTTTCAGTCTTTGAAAATAGTGGAGTGATTTTTACCTTTTTTTTCATCGAGCTACACGGTTGGCATATAATGAAAAACCGAGAATATTAAATTATTCTTTAAACAGTCTTGAGCAAGTTTATCAGTGAAAATCTATTCATTCTTTTTAAATTTTTTTTCTTCAGCTTTTTATTCATCCTAAAGCATACGGAAGCAAATTACGTAAAAAGTAGTCGCGTTTTTATCTCTTTTTTTGTTCAGCTAGTATAAAACCTTTTTTATTTCAAGATTCTTGGCGAGTGTTTCAGATTGTAATTTTATTCAAAGTCATGTTTCATTAACGCATGTAAATATTAATCGGAATTTCTTACCTTATTATATTATACAAGGTTCATTTTTGAAAATTTCAAAGTTCTCTAAAAGTTATTAAAGAAAACACCCTCTTTGTAACATTTCGGTAAACGCAGCCATTTAATTTTTTTTTTATTCAAAATAATGAAACGCAATTGTAACATGTTTTTTTTTAATATTGTAATTATAAATTTCCATATTCGGTCTTGTAAATAAAATTGATTTTGTATCGATTCAATCTCCAACGATCAATATTGTTTATATTGTATAAGTTACCCAAAAATAAATTTTCATAGACTTTATCATTATCCAATAAGAAAAGTTTGAACAACAGCGCTGCGAGAATAAAAGGAAAATCATACTAGAAATGAGTGAATTGACAAGAAGTCATGTTCTCACGAGAAAAGTAGTTTTACCTTTGATGGTTTTTTTTAACCTGTTGCAATCCTAGATCATTAAAAGAATTAAAGAAACTTTTTTTTTTTTAGCTCTCGATTTCATCATCGCACGAGTTCAAAATGCACCAAAGTAAACGAATTTTATTTTTTTTCAGTAAATTAATTCCTTAGCTAGCATCTAATTAAGTCCCACTAAAATGTTTAAGTAAGGGAAAAACCATCGCGATAATTTTTTAATAAACATTTAAAAATAAAAAAAAATCTAAAAATAATCATTATGATCGATCCTAAATTGAATTATCATGTGACAGACGTGCTTTGAATATGGTTGATCGTTTAATTGTTATAATTTATTTTCATTAATTCAAAAATGTTCTATTCAAATTGTCTATTGAAAAAAAAAAAACTTCACATGATGTGTTTACTGCGGCGATAATCGTTTTGGCTTTTTTGATTTAAAATGACTAAAATAAGGACAACAATGAAAATGATGGTCAACCTTTCTTTTAATATTCGCAGACTAAATTATAGTTGGATTAGGGATTTTCTTCTCATGGGAGTTTTTTTTTTCGTTCGAAAAAAAAAAAAATTTCCAAGCTCCCTCACAAAAAGATTCCTTGATTATTTGGAAATTGAAATGTCATGAACCACATATATTCTATATAATAGGTACAAAACATCACTATAAAAATACCAAATAAAAAAACCAATTATAATGACAAGACATAACAATAAAGAAGTGATTCTATCAAATGTATTATTATAGTCATCGTCAGATATTGTATCATGTTTCCTTAAAAGTGGTGTCTGAAAAAAGATCAATGAATAATCAGATCATATCATTCACATCTTTCAACAAGGCAAAACAAAACGTGGGGTGAGACAAAAACTTACGATAACGGTTGCATTTTGAAGTTCTATGGTGGAACCATGAATATTATTTGAACTTGTTGGTATTTCTTGGAATCGTTCCTTAAACTTGTTTCTCATCTCAATATATTCTATTGGTATGTCTACAGTAAAAGAACAATGTTAATAAAAAAAAAAAAAGGAAAGAAATCGATAGAAGAAATGTTTGTTATACATACAATCATATTGATATGATTTACTACTATTATTATTTGTGAAATTAAAATCCATTATTAAATAAATTATTAAAATTTATATTTCTTTTCCTCTAAAAAATAAAAGAAATGGAAACCATCATTAAATATGAGTTTATTGTTTTTGACAATGCATTACGATGTCACTTACCCATGACATTTGCATTAGAAAGAAATGCACGATTAAGCTAGAAATTGATCATATCGCATGGATATCCATTTTCCTCTGTTGTATGATGTTGCAATCCCCTGTCGTTGATCATGAAACTATTTTTCGCACAGATCTATCTTTGTTTCATATTATCCAAACATAAGGAAATCCTTTTTTTAAAAAAAAAACTTTATTGTCATTGCACAGTCGGGTTAATATTTTTTTTTTTCTCGGAAGAAGTTTCGAAAAACTAAAATGATTATATATACTAATTACGCCGCAGGTTACTTCAAAGTATTAATACTTTGTAGAACCGGTTTTTAAACATGATAAAGTGATAACTAATACTATACTATGTCAAAATTACGCCAAATGAAAAATTCCCGCACACGGAAAAGATAGAGAATAATTCGGGAAAAAATTATAAAATTTTCACTATGAAGTTCCCACTTTCATTACATTCTTGTTTTTTTTTTTTAATTATTTTTTTGTTGACAATTTGAGGAATTCTTTCTTTTTTTAATTTTTCTTGTTTGTAATCGAGAGTATCCTGATAAATTAAATTTTAACAATAAGAAATTAAATAACAAAAAAAAAAATTAAATTATTTATTCTCTAATCATGTCTATTTTTAACTTTTTGTAAAAAAATAAACAAATCTCGATTTGCATGTGCTTTCTGGAACGCGCCAACTCAAAATTCTTACCTCGTTCATATTAACCAGTTGTAAATATAATAATTTATTCATCAAAATAACGTGACTTGATCAAAGTTTATAGAACCCTACCAAATATGCTTTAGTAAAACATTTTTGAAAAGGTTGAACAAAAGAAAGAAAATTTTAATTAATCTTTTTTAATGTTAAATCAGAAAATGAAATTCCTTTTTTTTAACAAATCTATTCTAAAAAAAATGGGGAGGGGAGGGAATAAGAGATTATTTGGCTGAAATAAAAAGTATTATTTTCAGATTCTATTTTTATTGCCTAATACTTTTTTTAAAAAAGCTAGACGCGTAAATAATGATGTAATTTACACTTGAATTACAATGAGAAATTCGGTGTAAAAAGAATCATCTCAAAAAAGTGAATTGTTATAAATACGAGTAAATTCAACCGATTAATTTGACATTTCAGAACGAACATTCATTTCTGAAATAAAATAAAGTCCAGTAATCCTTTTGTATTTACTCCTCAAAAAAATAATATAAAATAATAAAGATGCTTTTCAAAGGAGTTTTTCTTGTCATCGCCTTCTTATCCTCTCTCGCCATCCATGCTGAGGCTGACGGTGGGGATTGTAAATCGACCATGTATTACAAAAAATATGAAACCTACCCGGTTTACAAGACGGAATACAAATACGAAACCAAATACAAAACGGATTACAAGACTGTGACCTACCCACTCACCAAGACGGATTACAAGTACGTGACCGAATACAAGACCGATTACAAGACCGATTACAAATACGAAACCAAATACAAGTACGAAACCAAATACAAGTACGAGACCAAATACAAGTACGAAACTTATCCAGTCTACACGACCGAATACAAGACCGAATACAAGACCGATTATACAACCGATTACAAGTACTATACCAAGTACGATGTCGAAACAAAGACTAAATACGACGTCGAGACCAAATACGAAACCAAGTACACCACCATTCCAGTCTACACAACTGAATACAAGTACGAGACCAAAGTCGAGCATAAGAAAGATGACTATTATCCTACTGAGAAGAAAGATGACTATTATCCTACTGAGAAGAAAGATGACTATTATCCTACTGAGAAGAAAGATGATGAATATAAAACAACTGAATATTAAAGATCCTATCTTCGGAAACAGGAGCCGAAGGACAAGGACCTCTAATATTTCTCTTATAAACATTTTTTTTTCTTTTTACTTTAATTTTTCTTGTAATCTGTTTTGTTTTCATAATAATAGTAGTAATAGGTAGTTACAATATAGTTAATTCTTGGAAGAACCAATTCTAATTAGAGAAAAAAAAAACGAATATTTCTGAAGCTATATTAAAATTTTAATAAACCAGTTGCTAATAATTCAGACCCATTTTAATTAATACCAATTACTGATATCAATAAAAAAAATTTCGTAATTTCTATAAAACTAATACGCCATTAAAAAAATGAAAAATGTATGTAATACAATCGCTTAAATTGACAACAATGCGGGCAATGTTCGAATTTCATTTTGCCAATTTTTCCTGAATAAGAAAAAAAAAATCAATTTTTTGGTTTGTTTTTCTAAAATTTGTTCATCATCCAAGTTCGTGTCACATGTTAATGCATTGATCGCGTTGTAGAAGTTGACGCGTGTAATCTTTTTTTTTTTTGTTTTGGAATTTAAGTTGTCAAAATGCAATTAATAAAACCTAGCTGGCTTACCCATTTAGGTGATCATTCTTTAATACAATAAAGTTATTCGCTATTAATTAATTATTCTGATCCAAAAAAAAAAATTATTCTAGATAATAAAAATCAAAAAACTTCAATTTTCTCAATACACGTACATCCCGACGGAACCATAATAGCGACCGGTGGTCTTGGTATGCATTTTAGTCTATTTGTAGTCTTTAAAATCGAATAGACGAATCAAGCTTTATTAATCAACTTTTGTGTAATTTTAGATAATAAAATCAAATTATGGAATACTTTACCTATAATTGATGGTAGCAAAGCCCTCGATCCCAATGTTCCAAATTTATTGTGCACATTGGGCTTACATAATGGTTTGTTACATTTATTTGGTTTCTATTAGTTGAGATAGTAAAGTAATTAACGTGATTTAATTATTTTATAGGTTCGGTTCTCTGTGTAAGATGGTCTAACAGAGATGGTCGTTATTTGGCATCTAGTTCGGATGATAAAATTTTATTCATATGGGAATGGGACAAGTAAGGAAATCATTCTTTGTTAAATCTCATTTATTATAATCATATTATAATTTGTTCATATTTTAGATCAACCGAAGATCGTATCGGGGAAAGCGCTTTTGGAAGCGATGAACCAAGCATCGAGAATTGGAAAACTGTACGTAGACTTACAGGGCATCAATCAGGTATATGATTTTTATATCGTTGACTGTTCTAATATTGAATTAATGGACTTATATTCGTTGATATATTCATTATATAACAGATGTTGTGGATCTTGCGTGGTCAAGAGAAAATACTTATTTGGCCTCATGTGGATTAGACAATTTAGTGTTCATATGGGATGGTAGAACATTTGGTAAGCTAATTGGCTTAATATATAAAAATAAATATTCATAAAGTAATGAATTTAATTTTGTAGAAAGATTGCGCAAATTAGATACGCATCAAGGATTTGTCAAAGGTGTAACTTGGGATCCCGTGGGCGAATACCTTGCCACCGAGGTAATCCACATTCTTCATGTTCCAACAAATATCATTGTTTATTGGTAATAATCAAATAAATTTTCAGTCAGATGATAAAACTGTCAAAATTTGGAGAACATCGGACTGGAGAATACAAGCCGAAATCAGCGAACCGTTTGCAAGTTCGACTTCAACGACATTTTACCGTCGATTAAGGTAATTTTCTATTTTTTTTTTATTGATAGAATATTCGTTCAATAAATCAAAACAATATTAATTTATGCAGTTGGTCACCGGATGGATCACATGTTGCTACTGCGAATGGTGCACAGGGGCCCGTTCCTGTCGCTGCAATATGTAATAGAGATGAATGGAAACCTGACGTATCATTGGTTGGTCATGACTCTGCTATTGAGGTGGTGGTATGTATTAATGACATTCTTTGCTATTTTTTATAAAAAAGATAAATCCCTCTTGTTCTGATGATCTCCGTAATGATATAGTCGTTCAATCCAGTTATTTTCATGATACCCGAGAGTGATGGTGCAAATCCTGATTCAGCTGGCGTTGGTAGTATATGTGCAGTAGGTAGTCAGGATCATAGTATTTCTGTGTGGGTTACTCGGAATGCGCGAGCTTTATTTGTTTGTCAAAAACCTTTTAATCATAGTGTTTTGGATCTAGCATGGTAAGATTTAAGTTATTATAATCACCATCATACCAGTAATGATTTAAGATGTTTAATTTTAGGTCACCTGATGGGAAGCACCTTTACGCTTGCTCGTATGATGGTACTGTGGTGGTCTTACAATTTCTCAATAATGAATTTGGAACACGATTGCCAATGGAAGAACAAGTACTTAACCATAAATTATTCTGCTTTTAAAATTTTTTTTTTTTTTTACAATTATATATATTGCTTATTAGGAAAAAGTTCTTACTAAGTGTGGAAAGATCCCATTATCCTAGTTACACTTTCTGTGGAAGGAGCACTTTCTACTGTAAATAAAAATTCGCAACTCGTGAATTTTTAAAATTAAAAAATTAGTTCAGGTGATATAAAAATTTGATTTTTACCTTAATTGGGGAAAATATTTGTAATTTTTATATTGATCGCAGAAATATGTTTGGAAATTTTTTACCCAAAAAGTTTGTAAATATGTATCTTTAAGGAATAAAAAAATTGTATTATTATCAACTATTATATCCCGTGACGTGCTTAGTCTTTATTTTTGTGTCACAAATGTTGATCCGATTATCAAGCCACGTTTTATTGGGGTTACAAAACTTGTGTAAAAGTGGATAAAATATAAAAAGGATTTTTTTTAATGCAAACTTTCCGTTCGCGTTGTAGAGTTGACGCGTATAATCATTTTTTTTCGAATTTCGTTGCAGCTTTAATATCTTGTTAAACATGCATTTAGCAAAACCCAGCTGGCTTGCCCATTTAGGTGAATAACAGTAAATATTTCTTTAAAAGTTTTTAAATTAATCTATAATCATTAGACTCTAATCTCTAATAAAAAACAAACAAACAAACAAAAAAATCTCTTGCTAATTCTTATAGATGACAAAAATCAAAGAACTTCGATTTTCTCAATACACGTACATCCTGACGGAACTAGAATAGCAACTGGTGGACTTGGTTGGTTTTTTATTTCGTTTTTATAGTCTTTAATATTTCAATCGAATTCACGAATTAAGCTTTATTAATAATTACTTAAGGCAAGAAATTCTTATAAATACGCTACAATTTCTAAACTTTTGGAAATTAACGTGTAATTTTAGATAATAAAATCAAATTATGGAGCACTTTACCGATAACTGATGGTAGCAAAGCTCTCGATCCTAATGTACCAAATTTATTGTGTACCTTGGGCTTACATAATGGTTCGTTCTGTTTGCATTTGGTTTCTATTATTTGCAATAATTTAATTGACCCGATTTAATTATTGAATGTTTTTCAGGTTCAGTTCTTTGTGTAAGATGGTCTAATAGAGATGGTCGTTATTTGGCATCGGGTTCAGATGATCAACTTTTATTAATATGGGAATGGGACAAGTAATTAAATTTAGCGAATTTCCGTTGTTTGTTAAAATTATTTTATTAAATAGCATTTTTTAAATTATGCCTATGCTAGATCAACCGAAGGTTGGGCTGGTGGAAGCGTTTTTGGAAGCGGTGAACAAAACATTGAAAATTGGAAAGTTGTGCGTCGACTTACAGGGCATCAATCAGGTAAATCGTTTTATGTTATGATTTGTATTTTTTTTTTTTTTATAATATTTGAATTAACTGATATCTTTTTATATTTAATCACTAATTAAAGATGTGGTGGATCTTGCGTGGTCAAGAGACAATACTTATTTGGCCTCATGTGGATTAGACAATTTAGTATTCATATGGGACGGTAGAACATTTGGTAAGCGAGTCATTATAATTGGCTTAATATATAAAAATAAATATTCATAAAGTTCTTTAATTTAATTTTGCAGAAAAGTTGCATAAATTAGATATGCATCAAGGATTTGTCAAAGGTGTAACTTGGGATCCCGTGGGCGAATTTCTTGCCACTGAGGTAAACATATACTTTGTGTTCTAACTTCGTAGCATTGATTATTGGTATTTATTTTCAAAAAATTTTATAGTCAGATGATAAAAC